TAGGATGATCGAGCAGCAGTGAGGACTCTTCGATATTGCTCTGTACTTTCTTTCCAAGTTAGTAGGAAGACTTCCAGTTTGGTGGAGCACCATTTCCGTTCCTTTTTTATGGAGGCTTGCTTCAGGGCTCTGGTATTTTCTGTATACCTGGGAGCTAGTTTCTTGCAACAAATGTTTTTTGTTTTTAAGGGTGCGCAGGAATCTAGGGTATTACGCAGTCACCAAAGATTAGAATATTTTCTGCCATGACTACAAGGTCCGATAGGAATTCAGGGAACTCAGTGTGGAACTCTGTATACGGCCCAGGAGGCCTGTAAACAGTAGCTATAAAAAGTGATTGAGTAGGCTGCATCGATTTCATGACTAGAAGCTCAAAAGACGAAAACGCAGTCATTTCTGGGGGGGTAAATTCGACATTTGCTATTGTAAATGTTAGCAACACCTCTGCCTTTGCGGGATGCGCGGGGGATATGGTCACTAGTGTAACCAGGAGGAGAGGCCTCATTTAACACAGTAAATTCATCAGGCTTAAGCCATGTTTCAGTCAGGCCAATCACATCAAGATTATAATCAGTGATTAGTTCATTGACCATTACTGCCTTGGAAGTGAGGGATCTAACATTAAGTAGCCCTATTTTGAGATGTGAGATATCACAATCTCTTTCAATAATGACAGGAATGGAGGAGGTCTTTATTCCAGTGAGATTGCTAAGGCAAACACTGCCATGTTTAGTTTTGCTCAACCTAGATCGTAGCACAGACACGGTCTCAATGGGGATAGCTGAGCTGACTACACTGACTGTGCTAGTGGCAGACTCCACTAAGCTGGCAGGCTGGCTAAAATCCTGCTGCCTTAATACTTTAATTGGACAATTTTCCTGTACTGCTAATCATTCAAAATGGAATTAATACTTTTGGGTGTTAGGGAAAATGTATGGAGTAAAAAGTACATTCTTTTCTTTAGGAATGTAGTGGAGTAAAAGTAAAAGTAGTCAAAAATATAAATAGTAAAGTAAATTACAGATACTCCAAAAAACGACTTAAGTAGTACTTTAAAGTATTTTTACTTAACTACTTTAACACCACTGCCTCTTCGTAATTATAAGGAGCCCTCTCCCTCCAGTAGCTACAAACAACACAACAAATATCTGATGTTATATAGGCCAATCCTAAAAATCGATCCCTAGATCCAAAAGGATTGGATAGGTAGTAGCTTCACCGTGTCCTTTGATAGGCTAGGTGGACAGAAACAAATATCTTACTCTGTGGTCAGTGGGGTTCCATCCACCCAGGTCCATTTGGTCAGGCTGGCATCTTCAGCAGCCAGACCAATCTATGCATTCTTATTAAAAGCACTGAGAAAGAACTAATGCAGCACAACACACATATAATGACACAACGGTATGCGTGCATTACTACACATACGTAACTAAGTCTTACATAAAAAAGTACAAAAAGTACAAATATTTATTAAGCATGTCAGAGTAGAAGTGCTGATCTAGGATGAGGTCCTCCCTTTCTAAAAAGCTTGATACAGTGCAATGTGAAAGTCTACATACCCCTTGCACGGTTTTCACATTTTGCTGCGTTAAAATCTTAAAACGGATTAAATTCGATTTTCCCCCTACTGATCTACAAAACCTGCTCCACATTTTTAAAGTGAAAGAAATAGTATAGAAAATGTTATTTAAAAAAATTAATAATAATAAAGATGTCTTGATTGCGTGTCTTCACACCCCAGAGTCAATACTTGGTGGAAGCACCTTTATCAGCAATTACAACTGTAAATCATTTTGAATAAGATTCTACCAACTCTGCACAACTCATAGTTCAACATACACTGAGCGTACAAAACATTAGGAACACTTACAGCATTCATGTAAATTCATTTTTATCAGGTTTTTTCTTTAGCAGGCCTTATTTTTATATTAATAATTTGTCAATAAAACTCATGAATGCAACTGTTGATATCAAATTGTTTTGTGTTCTACTTGTAGCCCTGGTTGTCCTGAAAATAAAATGATAAAACACTTAATTGTGAGGCTAAATATAAGAGCTGGAAATGCAGATAAATGAAAGTCAGATAAATGAAAAGCCGATTTTGGCTGGGGTCTGATAGGGTTAATGATATTCTCTGCTGATAATTTGGCCTTTGTCCCAAATCTGTGACCTCATCCTGCCCATTAAAAGAAAAAGAAATGTATGATCACTTCTGATTTCAGCAGAACTGAAAGTGAAAATGGATTGAGCATTGTACTTACACTGAGTGTACAAAACACTAGGATGACAGCAGACCAGGTGATTCCAGGTGAAAAGCTATGATCCCTTATTGATGTCATTTGTTAAATCCACTTCAATCAGTGTATTTGAAGGGGAGGAGACAGGTTAAAGAAGGATTTTTAAGCTTTGAGACAATTGAGACATGGATTGTGTATGTGTGCCATTCAGCGGGTGAATGGACAAGACAAAATATTTAAGTGCCTTTGAACACTGTATGGTAGTAGGTGCCAGGTGCACCGGTTGGAGTGTGTCAAGAACTGCAACCCTGCTGGGTTTTTTAGGCTCAACAGTTTTTCGTGTGTATAAAGAATGGTCCACCACCCAAAGGACATCCTGCCAACTTGACACAACTGTGGGAGGCATTGGAGTCAACATGGGCCAGCATCCCTGTGGAAGGCTTTCGACACCTTGTAGTGTCCATGCCTTGACGAATTAAGTCTGTTCTGAGGCCAAAAGAGGGTGCAACTCAATATTAGGAAGGTGTTGCTAATGTTTTGTACACTCAGTGTATATCCATTGTTTTTGTAAAAAAAAATATATATATATATAATTTTAAGGCAGCAAAATTTGACAGCTGTGCAAGGGGTGTGTAGACTTTCACCAGGCACTGTAAATATGGGCCCAACTCTCATTTAATTTCCATCTATGACCAAGTCTTTCACCTGGTCCTCTCTGCTGTTGATGATCACCAGGGCAGCTCCTTTCTCTAGGCAGCTCTGTCTGCTGGCTCTCCAGGACTTCTGCTCAATGGAAATAAAGTAAGAGCTGGAATCCATCGTCCACCATTCCTGGGTACAGGTCGGCCCTCTCATAGAACACATTAGAACAGGGATCATTCATAGAGCAATTTACACACAACAAATACTAACCTGAACTGAGAGTGTTCTGACCTGTAACAGAGTGAATGAGAAAGACTCTAACAATCTAGTTTTAGTCAGGTTGCGACATGTCGTCACTGTTCAAACCTATACTTACAACTTGTGCTAAGTTAGGATGTTATACTGAATTGAATCAACCAGACTCAGAGGTAAACTTCAACATGTCTTTACTCTATCACTGTCCGTGTAACAAGCCCCACATTCCTTTACTGACGTGGTGACGTCATATATCAGTACGTCACATCAATACACGACAGTCATACCATTGGTTGTTGTAAGAGATCTGTGGTGGTTTGCTTTCTGTAGACTTGAAGAAGAGATACGTTTTGGTTAGGGTAAAAAGGGGGTGAAAACTGTACCGAGCCACAAGCTCAGTGGAACACTTAGTCCATCTCGTGGTAGTTTTCTTTCGTCAGTGGCTACTCTGAAAATATAGTTTACCAAGCTACCAATTACTTCACACTGGAAGAAGTTGAGCTACAGCAAAGCTACCCTTAAGAGAAATATAGTTTGTTTACCGATATCTAAAGTTACTTTTCAAAACTGGCTCGTGAAACATTATCATCTATAAATCTGAAATGTCATTCAATACAAAGTTATGGTCAGATGCCAGATGTCAGATGTTACTTTAACAGAATGCTTGTGCAAAAGTGTGTGTACAGTGTAGCAGTGTAATAATTTCTGATAAGATATAGTAAATGCTAAACAGTAAATGCTTTAAAAATGATGAATATATCTATAATTATGTAGCAGATGGTAACTTTATGTAAGCTTTTCCATTAAAGTGTATTATTTTAACCTGAACTCTCACATTAAAGTATGTGGTAAATGTACAGTATCTGCCTGTTGTTTCGGTTACAATCCCACTCAATCAATCAATATATCAGTCTATATTGTCCCATTTGGGAAATGTATGCAGTCAGAGTATGAAAAACAGCAACATACAACATATTCACACCAAACAAAAACATAAAAATGGCTATGTGAGATGCATGTGTTAGGTGCTATGTACATACTGTACATATGGTAAATACAGAAACAATATGTAAGAAACTACAATTGCACCAACTTAATATCAAGTTGTCACATTTTTTATTTTTTTTATTTAACCAGATTGTCCCATTGAGGTCAGAATACATATTTTTCAAAACAGATCACATGAAGTTAGGGACTGCATAAGAGTGAGACTGTTGTTTGAACGCCATCTTCTGGCGGCAAATTGGTAAATTACCATGGCTATATTACGGTTTTTAAATCAGTGAAAGAAATCAATTTAATTCAGTACAGAGAATATCAAATCCATCATAGTATCGGCACTCCCATAACAAATCAAAATACACTCATAAATTAAATCAAATCAAATTGTATTGGTCACATACACGTTTAGCAGATGTTATTGCGGGTGTAGCGAAATGCTTGTGTTTCTAGCTCCAACAGTGCAGTAATTTCTAACAATTCACAACAATACACATAATACACACAATCTAAAAGTAAAAGTATGGAATAAAAAAATATATAGATATTAGGACCAGCAATGTCGGAGTGGCATAGACTAAAATACAGTAGAATAGAATACAGTATATACATATGAGATGAGTAAAGCAAAAATATGTAAACATTATTAAAGTGACTAGTGTTCCATTATTAAAGTGGCCAGTGATTTCAAGTCTATGTATATAGGGCAGCAGCCTCTAAGGTTGCACTGTATATTAACACGGGCAACCTTATAAGCATTTACATTATCAGTGTATTAATTATTTACAATTTCTAGTGTAATCCCATGATGTGTAACCTTGATAATAGCATTTCTTAATTGAGAGGAGAATGTTTGGTTTAGTTTGCTCAACTATAAATCTCCACGACACCAGACTGGTCTGCAGGCTTGCCAAATGAGAATCCTGTGTTAGATTCAGGCTTGCCAAAGGAAATACCTGTATTAAATGCAGGCTTGCTAAATGAGAAACCTGTGTTAGATTCAGGCAAGCCAAAGAGGGATGAACCTGTGTTAGATTCAGGCAAGCCAAAGAGGGATGAACCTGTGTTAGATTCAGGCAAGCCAAAGAGGGGTGAACCTGTGTTAGATTCAGGCTTGCCAAAGAGGAGTGAACCTGTGTTAGATTCAGGCTTGCCAAAGAGGGGTGAACCTGTGTTAGATTCAGGCTTGCCAAAGAGAGATGAACCTGTGTTAGATTCAGGCTTGCCAAATGAGAATCCTGTGTTAGATTCAGGTTTGCCAAATGAAAGACCTGTATTAAATGCAAGCTTGCTAAAGGAGAAACCTGTGTTAGATTCAGGCAAGCCAAAGAGGGATGAACCTGTGTTAGATTCAGGCTTGCCAAAGAGGGATGAACCTGTGTTAGATTCAGGCAAGCCAAAGAGGGGTGAACCTGTGTTAGATTCAGGCAAGCCAAAGAGGGATGAACCTGTGTTAGATTCAGGCTTGCCAAAGAGGGATGAACCTGTGTTAGATTCAGGCTTGCCAAAGGAGAAACCTATGTTAGATTCAGGCTTGCCAAAGAGGGATGAACCTGTGTTAGATTCAGGCTTGCCAAAGGAGAAACCTGTGTTAGATTCAGGCAAGCCAAAGAGGGATGAACCTGTGTTAGATTCAGGCTTGCCAAAGAGGGATGAACCTGTGTTAGATTCAGGCTTGCCAAAGGATAAACCTGTGTTAGATTCAGGCTTGCCAAAGAGGGATGAACCTGTGTTAGATTCAGGCTTGCCAAAGAGGGATGAACCTGTGTTAGATTCAGGCTTGCCAAAGAGGGGTGAACCTGTGTTAGATTCAGGCTTGCCAAAGAGGGATGAACCTGTGTTAGATTCAGGCAAGCCAAAGAGGGGTAAACCTGTGTTAGATTCAGGCAAGCCAAAGAGGGATGAACCTGTGTTAGATTCAGGCTTGCCAAAGAGGGATGAACCTGTGTTAGATTCAGGCTTGCCAAAGGAGAAACCTGTGTTAGATTCAGGCTTGCCAAAGAGGGATGAACCTGTGTTAGATTCAGGCTTGCCAAAGGAGAAACCTGTGTTAGATTCAGGCAAGCCAAAGAGGGATGAACCTGTGTTAGATTCAGGCTTGCCAAAGAGGGATGAACCTGTGTTAGATTCAGGCTTGCCAAAGAGGGATGAACCTGTGTTAGATTCAGGCTTGCCAAAGGAGAAACCTGTGTTAGATTCAGGCTTGCCAAAGAGGGATGAACCTGTGTTAGATTCAGGCAAGCCAAGGAGGGATGAACCTGTGTTAGATTCAGGCTTGCCAAAGAGGGATGAACCTGTGTTAGATTCAGGCTTGCCAAAGAGGGGTGAACCTGTGTTAGATTCAGGCTTGCCAAAGAGGGTTGAACCTGTGCTCGATTTAGGCTTGCCAAAGGAGAAACCTGTGCTAGGCTTTTCCTTACTATCGTTGTCAGATACAAATTGGGTGAAAGGACTGCTGTCAGTGTTCAATGTAGCCTTACAAAAATCATCCACGTCAACTGCAGGCTTACCACAAACACCGACAGGCCAATTGGAAAGGCTGCTACTTGTAGTACCAGGTGTGGCGTGAAGGACTGCTATACCAGCTCCAGATGCAGGTTTGGCGGTGCCTTCAGTGTTAGATGAGGATTTAGTAATCAGGGGATTGATGTTCATATTAGATGCAGATTTGGTCAAGAGAAGGTTGTCATTGGTGGACAAGGGTTTGGTGAGGAGGGCCTCACCTCTAGCAGCAGGTTTAGTGACATTTGATGGCCCTTTTTTGGTGAATAGGATCGCTTTGCCAGTTGGAGGTTTGCTCATGGAAGAGCCCTTCAAGATAGAGGACTTTGTACAGAGAGAAGGGGGAGTATCGCAGGTTACTGCAGGTTCCCCTGTTACCAGGGCGGGCTTGAAGGCTGGTGGGCTCCCATTGGCTTGACCAACTGTAGTTGGTGCTGAAACAAAAATAATTGCACAAACATTTTAGCACACATAGGCTACTGTATTTTGTGTGTTTTTTTCTGGAAAAATTCTGCATGCTGAGATTATAAACACACTTACATTGGCTGGGCTTTGGTGACTGAAGCATATGGATGGCTTTTACTGTAGAAATGGACACAGATACACACAATACATTTATTACAAGCTTTTAAAACCCACTCCCATGGACTTCCAATTCAAGGGTTTTCAAAAGATATACAGTACCTCATTCACATCTCACATGCAGTCTTAGTCTGTGTGACTCTTGTTTTCATGAATAAGACATGACCCACTGGGCACACACTGGTTGAATCAATGTTGTTTCCACGTCATTTTAATGAAATTACGTTGAACTAACGTGGAATAGACATTGAATTGACGTCTGTGCCCAGTGGGGAACCTCTGAAATTCTACCTGTGTTCGATATCCTCTTCATTTCTCCATCGCAGAAGCATTCCAATTGCTCCTTGAAATGAGTGTAAGCTCTCTTCACTGTCCCAAAATCACACAGCAGGTCAATGTTGACGCTCGGCAGGTCTTCAGATACAGGAGACCTACTAGGGTCTTGGTAATGCTGGAAAGATTGAAAGAAAACGGCTTCACATATACAGTGAGGGAAAAAAGTATTTGATCCCCTGCTGATTTTCTACGTTTGCCCACTGACAAAGAAATGATCAGTCTATAATTTTAATGGTAGGTTTATTTGAACAGTGAGAGACAGAATAACAAAAAAATCCAGAAAAATGCATGTTATAAATTGATTTGCATATTAATGAGGGAAATAAGTATTTGACCCCCTCTCAATCAGAAAGATTTCTGGCTCCCAGGTGTCTTTTATACGGGTAACGAGCTGAGATTAGGAGCACACTCTTAAAGGGAGTGCTCCTAATCTCAGCTTGTTACCTGCATAAAAGACACCTGTCCACAGAAGCAATCAATCAATCAGATTCCAAAGTCTCCACCATGGCCAAGACCAAAGAGCTCTCCAAGGATGTCAGCTTGGTGAGAAGGTGACAACAGTTGGTGCGATTATTCGCAAATGGAAGAAACACAAAATAACTGTCAATTTCCCTTGGCCTGGGGCTCCATGCAAGATCTCACCTTGTGGAGTTGCAATGATCATGAGAACGGTGAGGAATCAGCCCAGAACTACACAGGAGGATCTTGTCAATGATCTCAAGGCAGCTAGGACCATAGTCACCAAGAAAACAATTGGTAACACACTACGCCGTGAAGGACTGAAATCCTGCAGCGCCCGCAAGGTTCCCCTGCTCAAGAAAGCACATATACATGCCTGTCTAAAGTTTGCCAATGAACATCTGAATGATTCAGAGGAGAACTAGGTGAAAGTGTTGTGGTCAGATGAGACCAATATCGAGCTCTTTGGCATCAACTCAACTCGCCGTGTTTGGAGGAGGAGGAATGCTGCCTATGACCCCAAGAACACCATCCCCACCATCAAACATAGAGGAGGAAACATTATGCTTTGGGGATGTTTTTCTGCTAAGGGGACAGGACAACTTCACCGCATCAAATGGACGATGGACGGGGCCATGTACCGTCAAATCTTGGGTGAGAACCTCCTTGCCAGGGCATTGAAAATGGGTTGTGGATGGGTATTCCAGCATGACAATGACCCAAAACAAATGGGCAAGGCAACGAAGGAGTGGCTCAAGAAGAAGCACATTAAGGTCCTGGAGTGGCCTAGCCAGTCTCCAGACCTTAATCCCATAGAAAATCTGTGGAGGGAGCTGAAGGTTCGAGTTGCCAAACGTCAGCCTCGAAACCTTAATGACTTGGAGAAGATCTGCAAAGAGGAGTGGGACAAAATCCCTCCTGAGATGTGTGCAAACCTGGTGGCCAACTACAAGAAACGTCTAACCTCTGTAATTGCCAACAAGGGTTTTGTCACCAAGTACTAACTCATGTTTTGCAGAGGGGTCAAATACTTATTTCCCTCATTAAAATGCAAATCCATTTCTAACATTTTTGACATGCGTTTTTCAGGATTTTGTTGTTGTTATTCTGTCTCTCACTGTTCAAATAAACCTACCATTAAAAAACGTACAAAATCAGCAGGGGATCAAATACTTTTTTCCTTCACTGTAGCTGAACTCCAGGGCAGCCGTGTTACAATCTATGTCTGTTTATTTATAGATATCATTCTGCAAAACCTATTATCCTCAAGAAGTGCTAACCCCAAACAGCGCCGGAAGAAGATGGCTGCCGTTTTACAGCCCTCTAACCAATTGTACTATTATGTGTGTTTTTCCGCGTTATTTGTAATTTATTTTGTACATAATGTTTATGCCATCGTCTCTTATAACCAAAGAGAGCTTCTGGATATCAGGACAGCGATTACTCACCTCGCGTTGGACGAACACTTTTTCTTCAACGAGGCGTTCGCGAAGGATATTCTACAGACTCCAGACAAGGCCCAGATCCCCGTCATTCGCGTGAGGAAGAGACGGAGATACCGTGGACGTAGGTCGGGGTGCCTTGTAAAGATCCGATGGCGAACGAGTAAACTGCCTCTCCCATCAATCCTATTAGCCAACGTTCAAGCTTTGGATAATAAAATGGACGATTTAAGATTACGGTTATCCTACCAACGGGACATTAAAAACTGTAATATCTTATGTTTCACGGAGTCGTGGCTGAATGACAACAATGACAACATTCAGCTAGCAGGCTATACGCTACATCGGCAGGACAGAACGGCAGACTCGGGTAAGACGAGGGGTGGCGGTCTCTGTATTTTTGTAAACAACAGCTGGTGCACAAAATCAAATACTAAGGAAGTCTCAAGGTTTTGCTCGCCTGAGGTAGAGTATCTTATGATAAGCTGTAGACCACACTATTTACCAAGAGAGTTTTCATCTATACTTTTCATAGCTGTCTATTTACCACCACAAACCAATGCTGGCATTAAGATTGCACTGAATGAGTTGTACAAGGCCATTAATCAACAGGAAAACGCTCATCCAGATGCAGCGCTCCTAGTAGCAGGGGACTTTAATGCAGGGAAACTTAAATCCGTTCTACCTCATTTCTACCAGCATGTTAAATGTGCAACCAGAGGGGAAATAACTCTAGACCACCTTTACTCCACACACAGAGACGCATACAAAGCTCTCCCTCGCCCTCCATTTGGCAAATCTGACCATAACTCTATCCTCCTGATTCCTGCTTATAAGCAAAAACTGAAGCAGGAAGCACCAGTGACTCGGCTAATAAAAAAGTGGTCAGATGACGCAGATGCTAAGCTACAGGACTGTTTTGCTAGCACAGACTGGAACATGTTCAGGGATTCTTCAGACAGCATTGAGGAGTACACCACATCAGTCACTGGCTTCATCAATAAGTGCATCGATGATGTCGTCCCCACAGTGACCGTACGTACATACCCCAACCAGAAGCCATGGATTACAGGAAACATCCGCACTGAGCTAAAGGGTAGAGCTGCCGCTTTCAAGGAACGGGACTCTAACCCGGACGCTTATAAGAAATCCCGCTATGACCTCCGACGAACCATCAAACAGGCAAAGAGTCAATACAGGTCTAAGATTGAATCATACTACACTGGCTCTGACGCTCGTCGGATGTGGCAGGGCTTGAAAACTATTACAGACTACAAAGGGAAGCACAGCCGCGAGCTGCCCAGTGACACAAGCCTACCAGACGAGCTAAACCACTTCTATGCTCGCTTCGAGGCAAGCAACACTGAAGCATGCATGAGAGCACCAGCTGTTCCGGACGACTATGTGATCACGCTCTCCGTAGCCGATGTGAGTAAGACTTTTAAGCAGGTCAACATTCACAAGGCCGCAGGGCCAGACGGATTACCAGGACGTGTACTCCGAGCATGTGCTGACCAACTGGCAAGTGTCTTCACTGACATTTTCAACATGTCCCTGACTGAGTCTGTAATACCAACATGTTTCAAGCAGACCACCATAGTCCCCGTGCCCAAGAACTCTAAGATAACCTGCCTAAATGACTACCGACCCGTGGCACTGACGTCTGTAGCCATGAAGTGCTTTGAAAGACTGGTCATGGCTCACATCAACAGCATAATCCCAGAAACCCTAGACCCACTCCAATTTGCATACCGCCCCAACAGATCCACAGATGATGCAATCTCTATCGCACTCCACACTGCCCTTTCCCACCTGGACAAGAGGAACACCTACGTGAGAATGCTATTCATTGACTACAGCTCAGCATTCAACACCATAGTGCCCTCAAAGCTCATCACTAAGCTAAGGATCCTGGGACTAAACACCTCCCTCTGCAACTGGATCCTGGACTTCCTGACGGGCCGCCCCCAGGTGGTAAGGGTAGGTAACCAACACATCTGCCACACTGATCCTCAACACGGGGGCCCCTCAGGGGTGCGTGCTCAGTCCCCTCCTGTACTCTCTGTTCACCCATGACTGCATGGCCAGGCACGACTCCAACACCATCATTAAGTTTGCCGACGACACAACAGTGGTAGGCCTGATCACCGACAACGATGAGACAGCCTATAGGGAGGAGGTCAGAGATCTGGCCGTGTGGTGCCAGGACAACAACCTCTCCCTCAACGTGACCAAGACAAAGGAGATGATTGTGGACTACAGGAAAAAAAAGAGGACTGAGCACGCCCCCATTCTCATCGACGGGGCTGTAGTGGAACAGGTTGAGAGCTTCAAGTTCCTTGGTGTCCACATCACCAACGAACTATCATGGTCCAAACACACCAAGACAGTCGTGAAGAGGGCACGACAAAGCCTATTCCCCCTCAGGAGACTAAAAAGATTTGGCATGGGTCCTCAGATCCTCAAAAAATTCTACAGCTGCACCATCGAGAGCATCCTGACTGGTTGCATCACCGCCTGGTATGGCAACTGCTTGGCCTCTGACCGCAAGGCACTACAGAGGGTAGTGCGTACGGCCCAGTGCATCACTGGGGCAAAGCTCCCTGCCATCCAGGACCTCTATACCAGGCGGTGTCAGAGGAAGGCCCTCAAAATTGTCAAAGACTCCAGTCACCCTAGTCATAGACTGTTCTCTCTGCTACCGCACGGCAAGCGGTACCGGAGTGCCAAGTCTAGGTCCAAAAGACTTCTCAACAGCTTCTACCCCCAAGCCATAAGACTCCTGAACAGCTAATCATGGCTACCCGGACTATTTGCACTGCCCCCCCCACCCCATCCTTTTTACGCTGCTGCTACTCTGTTAAGTATTTATGCATAGTCACTTTAACTCTACCCACATGTACATATTACCTCAACTAGCCGGTGCCCCCGCACATTGACTATGCAACGGTACCCCCCTGTATATATAGCCTCCCTACTGTCACTTTATTCTATTGTATATATAGCCTCCCTACTGTCACTTTATTTTTTACTTCTGCTCTTTTTTTCTCAACACTTTTTTGTTGTTGTTTTATTCTTACTTTTTTGTTTAAAATAAATGCACTGTTGGTTAAGGGCTGTAAGTAAGCATTTCACTGTAATGTCTGCACCTGTTGTATTCGGCGCATGTGACCAATAAAATTTGATTTGATTTGATTTGAAGTGCTTATACCTGAAGGAAGTATGCGTCATCTTGGGTCAGTGTAAGTTTCTTCAGCTCAGAGTCTCTCTTCTTCAGCTCAACAATCTCCTGCTCCAGACGCTGCAGCTGGGCCTCCACCCGGTTCACCTCCACCTTCTCCTGAGCCCTGATCAGCTCCTTCACCTTGTTGCCCGTCCGCTCCAGGTATACTTTCAGCTCTGAGAGGGTCCTGGTGCTGTCCAGAACAGCATTCCTTGCAGAGCGCTGATAGAAAGGAATATAGTGATTTAGACCCTGCCTCAATGTTCTGGTACTTAATTACCAGCAGCGCCTGATCAAGATGGTGGGAAGGATCATTGGTAGTATGGACCAAGAATCAGCTGCTACCAGCCTGTACACAAAACTCATCCTCCAAAAACTTGACAACATTTTACAGGACAGTACACATCCCCTTCAACCAAAATACTGTCATAGCAGTCATAGCCTGCTTTGAGAAGAAGACTTCTTTAAAATAAGCTCAGGACAAATAGATATAGGGACTCTTTAATTCCAACAGCCCGTAGGCTGTATAATGGATAGTCTATGGATAGTCTAATTGGACTCTTGACTAGTTGATAGGTGTGTACAGTAAATATGTATTGCATTTTCACTGTAAATATGCAGCCTATTGTACTTTCATATAAAATGTATTGTGTATTATTCTGTGTTTTTATGTATTATGTACTTTGTTTTTTTAAGCAAATGACCTAAAAAATTTACACCTGGTGGGATAATAAAGTTGATCTAATCAAATCAATCTAATCTAATTAAAGGTGTGCTATTACTTTAGAAAGCTAATAAGATGGAGATAACAGATTCAATGCAGTACAACGTGTGTACAGATAGTTATGGCAGATTAAGTTCACTTTAAACACCACCACCACTCCCTCTCTCTCTCTCTGACCTTGATTATCTACAGTAGCCTATCTGTCGAAAAATATCATAGCTCACCTTAAACGACATCATAGCTCCCCTCAGCCGCTCCACCTCCCCTTCCTTTTCCTTGACTTCCTGTCGACATGATGCTCGTTTGGCTTCTGTCTCTTTCTGTGAGTAAAGAGAAGCCCCACACAACTCAACATGAGCTTTCCACTTTCTTCACAAACAAATTCACTAATAACACGAAATGAAACATGATAAGTAGAGCAGAGAGTGACACACATGATAATATACAGTGGCTTGCGAAAGTATTCACCCCCCTTGGCATTTTTCCTATTTTGTTGCCTTACAACCTGGAATTAAAATTGATTTTTTGGGGGTTTGTATCATTTGATTTACACAACATGCCTACCACTTTGAAGATGCAAAATATTTCTTATTGTGAAACAAACAAGAAATAAGACAAAAAAACAGAAAACTTGAGCGTGCATAACTATTCACACACCCAAAGTCAATACTTTGTAGAGCCACCTTTTGCAGCAATTACAGCTGCAAGTCTCTTGGGGTATGTCTCTATAAGCTTAGCACATCTAACCACTGGGATATTTGCCCATTCTTCAAGGCAAAACTGCTCCAGCTCCTTCAAGTTGGATGGGTTCCGCTGGTGTACAGCAATCTTTAAGTCATACCACAGATTCTCAATTGGATTGAGGTCTGAGCTTTGACTAGGCTATTCCAAGACATGTAAATGTTTCCCCTTAAACCACTCAAGTGTTGCTTTATCTCTGGAAGACTGACACAGGTTTCCCTCAAGAATGTCCCTGTATTTAGCGCCATTCATCATTCCTTCAATTCTGACCAGTTTCCCAGTCCCTGCCGATGAAAAACATCCCCACAGCATGATGCTGCCACCACCATGGGGGTGGTGTTCTCGGGGTGATGTGAGGTGTTGGGTTTGCGCCAGACATAGCATTTTCCTTGATGACCAAAAAGCTACATTTTTGTCTCATCTGACCAGAGTACCTTTTTCCATGTGTTTGGGGAGTCTCCCACATGCCTTTTGGCGAACACCAAACGTGTTTGCTTATTTCTTTCTTTAAGCAATGGCTTTTTTCTGGTCACTCTTCCGTAAAGCCCAGCTCTGTGGAGTGTACGGCTTAAAGTGGTCCTATGGACCGCTGTGGAGATTTGCAGCTCCTTCAGGGTTATCTTTGGTCTCTTTGTTGCCTCTCTGATTAATGCCCTCCTTGCCTGGTCCGTGAGTTTTGGTTGGCGGCCCTCTCTTGGCAGGTTTGTTGTGGTGCTACAGTGAGGGAAAAAGGTATTTGATCCCCTACTGATCATGTCTTTGTCAGTGGGCAAACGTACAAAATCAGCAGGGGATCAAATACTTTTTTCCCTCACTGTATATTCTTTCAATTTTTTAAATAATGGATTTAATGGTACTCTGTGGGATGTTCAAAGTTTCTGATATTTTTTTATAACCCAAACCTGATCTGTACTTCTCCACAACTTTGTCCCTGACCTGTTTGGAGAGCTTCTTGGTCTTCATGGTGCCGCTTGCTTAGTGGTGTTGCAGACTCTGGGGCTTTTCAGAATAGGCGTATATACAGTGGGGAAAACAAGTATTTGATACACTGCCGATTTTGCAGATTTTCCTACTGACAAAAAATCCAGAAAATCACATTGTATGATTTTTAAGTAATTAATTTGCATTTTATAGCATGACATAAGTATTTGATCACCTACCAACCAGTAAGAATTCCGGCTCTCACAGACCTATTAGTTTTTCTTTAAGAAGCCCTCCTGTTCTCCACTCATTACCTGTATTAACTGCACCTGTTTGAACTCGTTACCTGTATAAAAGACACCTGTCCACACACTCAATCAAACAGACTCCAACCTCTCCACAATGGCCAAGACCAGAGAGCTGTGTAAGGACATCAGGGATAAAATTGTAGACCTGCACAAGGCTGGGATGGGCTACAGGACAATAGGCAAGCAGCTTGGTGAGAAGGCAACAACTGTTGGCGCAATTATTAGAAAAAGTTCAAGATGACGATCAATCACCCTCGGACTGGGGCTCCATGCAAGATCTCACCTCGTGGCATACTGCTAAAGCAACACTTGAGTGGTTTAAGGGGAAACATTTAAATGTCTTGGAATAGCCTAGTCAAAGCCCAGACCTTCATGAGGAAGGTGAGGGATCAGTCCAGAACTACACAGCAGGACCTGGTCAATGACCTGAAGAGAGCTGAGACCACAGTCTCAAAGAAAACCTGCAGCGCATGCAAGGTCCCCCTGCTCAAGCCAGCGCATGTCCAGGCCCGTCTGAAGTTTGCCAATGACCATCTGGATGATCCAGAGGAGGAATGGGAGAAAGTCATGTGGTCTGATGAGACAAAAATATAGCTTTTTGGTCTAAACTCCACTCGCCGTGTTTGGAGGAAGAAGAAGGATGAGTACAACCCCAAGAACACCATCCCAACCGTGAAGCATGGAGGTGGAAACATCATTCTTTGGGGATGCTTTTCTGCAAAGGGGACAGGACGACTGTACCGTATTGAGGGGAGGATGGATGGGGCCATGTATTGCGAGATCTTGGCCAACAACCTCCTTCCCTCAGTAAGAGCATTGAAGATGGGTTGTGGCTGGGTCTTCCAGCATGACAACGACCCGAAACACACAGCCAGGGCAACTAAGGAGTGGCTCCGTAAGAAGCATCTCAAGGTCCTGGAGTGGCCTAGCCAGTCTCCAGACCTGAACCCAATAGAAAATCTATGGAGGGAGCTGAAAGTCCGTATTGCCCAGCGACAGCCCCAAAACCTGAAGGATCTGGAGAAGGTCTGTATGGAGGAGTGGGCCAAAATCCCTGCTGCAGTGTGTGCAAACCTGGTCAAGACCTACAGGAAACGTATGATCTCTGTAATTTCAAACAAAGGTTTCTGTACCAAATATTAAGTTCTGCTTTTCTAATGTATCAAATACTTATGTCATGCAATAAAATGCAAATTAATTACTTAAAAATCATACAATGTGATTTTCTGGATTTTTGTTTTAGATTCCGTATCTCACAGTTGAAGTGTACCTATGATACAGACCTCTACATGCTTTGTAAGTAGGAAAATCGGCAAAATCGGCAGTGTATCAAATACTTGTTCTCCCCACTGTATACTGAGATCATGTGACAGATCATGTGACACTTAGATTGCACACAGGACTTTATTTAACTAATTATGTGACTTCTGAAGGTAATTTGTTGCACCAGATCTTATTTAGGGGCTTCATAGCAAAGGGGGTGAATACATTTGTATTCACCACTTTTCCGTTGTTTATTTTTGAGAATTTTTTGAAACAAGTTATTTTTTTTATTTCACTTCACCAATTTGGACTATTTTGTGTATGTCCATTACATGAAATCCAAATAAAAAGCAGGTTGTAATGCAACAAAATAGGAAAAACGCCAAGGGGGATGAATACTTTTGCAAGGCACTGTATGTGATAACCAGCATAGATAATGGTGTGATTTACAAGATTAGGCTAATTGGCAGAACTAAATCACTGTGGCAGAGCACTTCAGATTACCTTTTACATAAAGCTAAATGATGTTCCCCCAATGAGTTTTAGCCAGGCCTGTGTAGTAACCTAGTGGTGCCCAAAGCCCTGGTCTGCTCTAGAAAGCCTATGTAAATTACAATTATTTTAAGTAGTGATCAATTCTGACTACTACATTTGTCGTCACACAGGACCATGCAGTGCTGGGTTGACTCTCTCAGGCAGGATGAAAACGACTACATCGACCATGATCCTTTGCTAGTTACGGCCACTTTCACCATTATCCTTTTTTGGTGCCATTCAGCCCCATTCAGCAATATAGTGCGCTTCAAATTCTAATACTTCCAGCTTCATCCGCCATCGGGAGTTTTCCATAGGAAAACATGGATGACGTCAGCGCTACCACTATCTACTGGTTTTAATGTCTATGGTTTTAGCACCTACCTGCTTCTCCATTCTCGCAGCTGATGCAGGAACGGTGACATGGCCTTTGTGATCGTACAGTGCACAACTCACACACACACACTGTTTGTCGGTTCTGCAGTAAACCTCCAGCAGTTTGTGATGAGTTGAGCAAACGCGTTCCTGTAATCGTCGGGTGGCATCCAACAGCTTGTGCCTTCCAAAGGAAGGGTTTTCATAGTGGGGCTTTAGGTGCGTCTCACAGTAAGAGGCCAGACACACCAGGCAGGACTTGACAGCTTTGTTCTCTCCTCTAGTGCAGAAGTCACATGCAACCATATCTTCCGTAAGAGAAGCAGCTTGGAGTTCTGTCTTCTTCAGTTTCGCCACCATTTCTGCCAGAAGAGTATTTCGGTTCAGAGTGGGCCAAGGTTGTGTAAGGCTTTCTTTGCACTGGGGGCAGATGTGACCTCCCCTCTGGTCCTCCTGCTCCCATAAGCCCTGGATACAGCCCATACAGTGACTGTGTCCACAGGGCATAGTCACCGGATCCTTCAGCAGGTCTAGACAGATGGGACAGTTGAAGAGGTCCTGTTCCACCGAGATAGAGGCTGCCATTTTACTCGATATTGTGTCTGATTTACAGCTAACAAAGTTGTGTGAGGTAACTAGCCTAGAGAGTAAGAGACAGAACTGAGGTTGGTGCCCCACTTCACTGACTGAAGAGGAAGCAAAGAGAATGGAAACAGATAGTGTAAAAAAGAGTTTCATTTCTCTTGAAATCCTGACTTGTTGTGGGTGTGGTCACATTGTTCATTAGTTTATGTAAAATCATCTACCTTTTGAAGGGTTATCAAGTTTCTATATATCTACTGATATGTGGCTATGATTCTCTTTCTATCGTATGTTGTTACTCAACATACGGAATATGGTAATGGTATCCATGTCTCAATTGTCTCAAAGCCTAAATATGCTTCTTTAACATGTCTCCTCCCCATCATCTACACTGATTGAAGTGGATTTAACAAGTGACATCAACAAGGGATTGTAGCTTTCACCTGGATTCTCCTGGTCAGTCTGTCATGGAATTAGCAGGTGTTCCTAGTGTTTTGTACACTCAATGTAAGTACAATGCGCTATCCATTTTCACTTTCAGTTCTGCTCATACATTTCTTTTTCTTTTAATGGACAGGATGGGGTCACAGATTTTG